GTAAAGGACAGAATTGCTCAATTGTGACAACTACTCTACACCCAAATTCCTTCCAGATCTGTAGGTTCTAAGAATACTACTCTCAAGGCATCTTTAGTTGGCAGGTGGATTCAGTGTGAGGCAGGGGAGGCAGATACGAGGGACAGGTTAAAAAAATTTTTTTTTAAACCAAGGAATTTTTTTTTAAAGCTATGTTATTTAAATTATTTAACAAAACAACCTTTTCCCCTGCAAAGTATTCTCCATTACACTTAATACATTTGTCAAATCTGTGATTCCATTCTTGGAAACATTTTTCAAACTCATGTTTGATGACTCCCTCATTTTGTTCGTCCCCTCTTCTACAATGTCAAATCGCTGTCCTTTCATGTCCCTCTTCACAAAGAAGTTGCATGCTGTTACACTATCTTTTCAGAACCGCTAAATCAGTGGTTCTCCACCTGCTGGTCGCAACCCCTTTGTGGGTCAAATGACCCATTCACAGGAGTCACCTGATTCATAACAGTAGCAAAATTATAGTTATGAAGGAGCAACAGAAATAATTTTGTGGTTGGGGGGTCACCACAACATGAGGAACTGTATTAAAGGGTCACAGCAATTAGGAAAGCTTGATTAACAGTCTGACCTGAGCATCTTTCACTGATTTGAATGATGTTTGCTCTCTTTTTCCACTCGATCAGTCAGAACCCGAGGCACAAATTTCCCAGTGACCTTCTGATTCCCAAATCTTCCATTAAAATTCACTGACCCAATCTCCAAGATAGTTCAGGTAAGTATCCTATCTCTTCAATTGTCTCTGCGAATAAAGTGGGTGTGCATGTCAGGATTTATACAAATCCTTTCAAGCTCAGCATCGAAAGTACAAAGGGAAAACCCAAGCTCTTGCATGACTCTCAGAGACAAATACAGATTTCATGGCCCACTCTGAGATTCAGTAAGGATGGGCTGAGTTCTGTTACTAAGCTCCATCAGGTGATTACAGTTAACTGACAGCATCACTGCTCAATGGTCTCTTTGGTGTCTTTGTTGTGTAGATAAGTGGAACGTGCATGATGGTATTTCGTTTGGTTGAGATGGTCATGGCAAGGCACACAATGGTTAGGGTCTAGACCTCAGACTTCTGTTTTTCCCTGTAATTTTACTGCATTCAGACATACATGAAGAAAAAACTATTGAAAGTCACCTAACAGGCTATCTATATTAACATTTTACCATTTATGCCATATGCATCCCACATATAAGAGTTATAACCACATCTCTCCAATGCCATCCCTTACTCTCCTTCACAAGAGATGAACGTTGCCTTGAAACTGGGATCATCCCTAAACAGGTTTTGAATGTTGTCTATATGTATTTTGTATCTAAACTATCTTCTCTTGCTTTGTGTGTTTAATACTGTTCATAAGTAGTATCATCATGAATTTGCTGTTTTGTTCAGACAGCCAATGAGAGGTCTGGGGAGGAGGCATTCACCATGGCGGCAGCAGGCAGTCGCGGTAGGGTTTCCACGTCAAGATCTCATCTTGGCCTCACACAGACATCCCAAGACCGACAGGTTATGTCTCTTCTCCAGGGACAGAGATTAGCTAATGGCACTTACTTTTTTCTTCAAGGTTAGCGATTAGGAAGGCTGTTTAAATTTATGTCCCAAGGAGAGTTGACAAAGATGAACTGTTCTGTCTTCTTTCACCACAGCACATCGTGTCAAAGCCAACTTAACTGATGACAGAGTGGCGTTGCCTCTTCCCACTTCAGTTAAACTGCAATGGACTCAGATTTGTAAACCGTGGGGAACCAGCAGCACCAGTACTGCCCTGCTAGAAACCCAGTCTCCCTCTTAGAAAACAAGGGCAGCATGCATATTGCATGACAACCTGGACTCACGATCAGCAGTCAGAAACCAGGAAGCTCAAAGGTGGTGGCCAATCAGGCTGCTGTGAATGAGTGCTGCTCCTCACAGGCCCGGCTAGAACCCATCCTGCAAGGGCTCGCTGGCCCCTTCCGAGTCATTATAGCCATCATAAGCTTTCACCCGTAATTTTTCCCGTTCTGGTCACTGTGCCGCCTCACCTCAACTTGATATAGGTCTGTTCCAATTTCACATTAGCAGTCATTGACAGAACTGTCCGAAGCCCCGACTTTAAAGAATATTTACCGCTTTTACATTTTTATATGCTTCTATGTCCATATCTAAACTCAGACATTTCCTAAATCCCTTTTCCCACACATAACACACCTACAGAAAGCACACACCACACACACAGCACACATTAAGAACCAGACATGTGAGGGGTTTGTGATTTGCCTAAAAAATCATAGCACATTACTTGCGTTAAATGATGGTAGTTCGTGTATTCCTATATTCCTAGGATGAGTGATTAAACACATGCATATATGTTTAGAAAGCACAATAGTACATGGGATTTGAGAGCATTCCAGACACATACAGAGCAGTCACTGTATGTATTCACTGTCCACAAGGTGCGCACCTTAATAATCTGTAGCCATTTCTCTTTCTACTGGGAAGTTTCAAGACTGGTAAAAGTGGATTGCATTTGTAAATGCAGTCTCCTTGGCTTCCTTAGGGCTCACGGAGCCTTAGCTGTGCTGAGGGGGGGGAACCTCACCATGGTGACTGTACACTGTTCCCACTTCTGAGATAGTTTATTGTGCCAGCCTGGCCGATACACAAGTGGGATTAACTGCAGGGCGGAGAGATAAATGGCTTGGTGAGCCTTGCCTTTCTTGTCTGACGCTCTTTGATCATCGGACCAGTGTGCGGCTGCCTTGCTTGTTCTGTGCCTCAATTTACAGGCTACACCATCTGTGGGACGCCTAGCCTGTGAACTGTGTCGCTGTAAGTTGAGGTCCCTTTAAGACATCTCTGGAGCTGGGTACTGGCGGTTGGTGACCTGCTTTGTGATTGGCTGCTGTGCTGAGATAGCCTAGCTCTCTCAATATATATAGAGGAAGACCTGGCAGCAGACGAAGACTTGAAGGACTGCTAGTGTCTCACAATTCTCTCTCATGGGAGTGAGTTGCACTGAGCCATTTGTACTGCTTTATATTTTAACTGCTCATTTCTTGTATTATATATCTATCTGTATATAATTTAACAGTTCATTTCTTGTGTTGTAAATCTAATTATAACTAAATATACTAAATTATCAGCAATTTGGTTTTATCACTCTAGAGAACCATAACACAACTTCTAAGGATTTAGGCTTTGCTCTCCTCTCTGCCCAGTGCTTTTCCCATTTTTTATAAGGCCCGGGGCAAGACACTTCTGTTTTCAAGTGACACCTGCAGGCCCCCCCAACCCAATCCCAATTCTGATCGGCTCAGCCCAGATGGAGCACACCCAGGCCTGGCTGTCCAGCTCTTCCTACTTTCCTCACAAACACCCCCAAGCAGTTTGAGCAACAAATCTCTATTGACTTCATCAAAGTTTACTCTTGCCAGCTCTGCACATATTCTACATCTTAACACCTTACTAAAAATTCAATCAGGACACATCAAAGTGGCACTACGAACACTTTAATGACACCAAATGGCAAATTTATACAAATTACAAGCTAGAGTATACTGAATACAAAATCCGTTCAGATAACAGTTTAGAAAAGCCTCGTTTACAAAGGTAAAGCAGATTCAAGTGGCTAAAGGGCTCCAGCTCACCACTACGCTAATGACGCTCGGCTGTAAATACAGCACATCATCTCAGTCCTCCCTAACAGGGTCACTAGGCAAAGTGCTAAGGAGAGCGGGTGAACGTTCTTTGCAAACTGTAAGGTGCTGTGCAGATGTCATCAGCTATCGCTGTTATTGCTGTTCAGCGGCATTTCACTGAACTTAGGCATGTAAATAAAACGGAAGGCTAGCTGGCACAACTGACAAGACTTGGAGCATATCAACGAAACAGGACGGGACAGTATGGCCAGAGGAGTTCCAGATGACTCTGCTGGCTATATAATTATCCCTTGTATAGACAGCATGTACTATTTTACGCTAGTTCCCCCCCATTCCTCTGCGAACAGACCGACATCCCACCAAACTAGTTTTAATGGGCGGCAAAGCCGCTGCTTCATGTACCTTCAACACTCCTCTTTCTTTGGGGACGCCCGATCCATTTTACTGCTCTTACCAGCCTCCTGGGGTACACAAACTGTGGACAGCAATTTATATGAAACTGAAAAGTAAATACCAAGCAAGCCAAGCACTGGTGTTGGACAAGCTGATAAAAATGGTCTAATGTTAATGCTATCTATTTCTGTTAGTTTCTCGGGAAATATGACGGAGCTATCTTTTGTATGAAGGCTCACATTTCCTCAGCAACAACTTGCAACTGAATTCTACGATTACATGTAAAATGAGGTCCATTTGAAGAGCGAATGACATCAGATGCATTCTACAGCAGACTGTTCATCTTTTAACACAATGAGGGAAAAGATTACATTTTGTGGGGAGCAGAATGAGAGTTTAAACTGTGTTAATCGGTAGCTGTACCAACATTTCAAGTTCTAGCCCCTAATTCAGGTTACTCTCTACTATCGTTTTGAAGCCACAGGAAATGTATTCTTCCCTGTAGCTTTCCTTTCTATACATCATGAGGTCTGTACACCAGGGGAGGAAACCAATATGCCAGCTTAGAAAAGAAATCTGTGTGTGAAACACCTGACACCGTTCTATATAGTGAAGAACAGCCGCAAACTAGTGAGTTCACCATTGGAACTACAGGGGAAAGTACGAACTGGCTAGGAAACAAACCAACCTTGAAATCATTCTAAGCTGCGTGTGCATGTGTGCCTGGTTTAAACACCTGCAGGGGGACAAATACCCACGCCCCGGTCTAACTCAGCAAATGTCCCAAATCAAACCATCCAACAGTGGACTTGGTGTTTTACAAGTAGCAGAAAGTACACGAAAAGCACTGGCATCTTCTAAAAAGACTGAGAAGACAGCGACAGGACATCTGAGGAGGGTCCAGAAATCAACCACACATGCAAAGGTCATCAGACTACTACAGTAGTCCTTTTTTATTAAAACACATGACATTCCAAGGAACTGCTTAAAGAAGAGATTTAAATTCCACACAACATTGAACGGAAACAAGAAAAATAGTACTACAATAATCAGATTCTTCTTTCTCTCAATCATGAAATAAACATGAATGCCAACTTGACTTTTAGGCCTCGGCCTCTCTCCCTCCCTTCAGGAATGGCAGATATGTCAGAAAGGGCCACTGGGTGAGGGCGCCCCATGACATGGTGACCATGTGAATAACGTAATGGCTAATTAAACAATGAGAAGATGGGCAAAGCCATCACACGCAGTCATCTACTCCAGGTGGCACAATTTGGGGAAATCAAATTTTCTTCACTTTGTAACATGCATTCTTCTGATGTTCTACAGTAAACAGATTATGAAAGACACCCTTTTTGGGGGATGAGGCTGGGGGCCTTTGTGTTTAGATTTCAGAAAGATGTTCCTACTCCCCCTAAAAATCTATCGTCTCAATAACCCTAGCGAGCAACCCTCCTCGGCCCTCTGCATTACTGAGAATCAGACGGGAGTAACGGCAGGGCGTGGTTTTAGGTCGCACACACCAAATGGCTGGCAAAGGTACACTGAAGGCAGGATCTCAAGGACCATCTGACAATAAGGAGCCGGGAACTGCTTTGTGCTCTGTGGCTTTGGATAAACTAGAGTCCTCTTATCAGGAAGGTGCAGGGGAAACTGAGTATCCCTAGAAGAATCATATACAGCAAGAATCCCATTGACGAGGAAGTATGCTTTATGCAGAATTCCTCAGCAGCACGTTGAACAATTCCAGTGTCTACAATTTAAACAACTTTTTCTAGGAAATTTCACAATAACAAACAAACAATGGCCTGCTGCTTTTCATGAGCTTGGGAAAAAAATGTTCCAGTGTAAAACATAGTCTGGAGTTGCTTCTCTGTCAACTCTAAAGATATCCAGAGGAGTACTAGGCAAAACCAACTTTATAAGATGGAAATGATAAAGAGTAAATAGCAAAAAGATGGAAATGCTATTAAAACTCAGCTTTGTTGTAAGAGAATACAATTCTTCCCGGAACTACGTGGAACTCGTTTATGGTTTCCAAACTCTTATCAGCAAGAGGCTTATCAAGTCAAAACGGATTCTACAAAGCATGGGGGAGAAGGGCCCACACCGATGCTAGTCAAACATGCCACATTCTCTCAAGTTTATTACAGCCACCACAACCCCCAAGTGCATTTGCATTTTACAAGAACTGGTTGCGTGTTATCCAAAGGTGGTGTCCTCTTTAATCCTGTTTGCCTTCGCGCCACTGGCGTGAGCCTTCATTCCACGCCACGTACAGAAAGAGAGCCAGCACCACGTGAACAGCAACCACGGCCACAATGGCAGCATAAAAATAGCTGTCCCGATTGGACATGCCCAAGGCGCCTACAAGAGAAAAGGGTTTCCATGTTGGTCCAGACGTTCCCAAAATATGAAAACAAAACATACAAGTTTTAAAAGCTACATACTTATCAAGTCAGGAGTCTAGGTGTTGCAAAAGTTTTCGCTTGCCTGCTAACCTACAGGTACGGGTGGTTTCGAACCCACCCAACAAGTGCATGGAAGAAAGCCCTGGTGATCGCTTCCATAAAGAAATTCTCATGGATCAGTCCTATTCTGTCACACATGGGCTTGCCCTGTACTTTAACCTAGTCGAGGGGTGACCAATTAAGTAGCTACTCAAAGATGTGAGGATCTTCTATGTACTAGGAAAACAATGTGTAAAGAAAACTACAACCTCATCTAAAGCCTGGAACAGCAAAAACGTCATTTTATTTTCTTTTCCTTCCAATACCTGCCACAAAGGAGGTGGAGGTAGTCAGGTGGTGCTGAGTCAACCCTACTCCTGGGGACCTCGTGCCACCCCTATCCTGGGCTGTGGATCAGACAGGTGTCATCCATAGGGCTTTCTTTCACTGACTGATTTGTGGAAGCAGATCGCCAGGCCTTTCTTCCTACTTCATCTTAGTCTGGAAGCACTTCAAAACCCACATGGTATCATAGCAACACACAAGCCTCCACTGATACATAAACAGTGGCTGGGCATGAAGTACGCTGGTCAGCTGGGTCTCCCACAGGAGGGTGAGCATTCTACCAAGGGCCCCACCCAAAGGTCATTCCTCAAATTCCACTTCCCAGGCCAGCCGAGTACCTCTCTTAGCAATACCTAAAGAAAGGATCTACAAGTGATTTCAGAGAAAGAACAAAGACGCCACCCAAGTTGAAATAGCTGCAAGTGATGACAAAGCCCATTTCCCGAAGTAAGACTCACTGTGAGCATGTTTAGGAACAGCACAGCGTGGTGGAAGAAACCCCGTGAAGACTGCCCAGTTGGCAGAGATAAAGAAGTCAGAAAAGCACAGGCTCTCAGAGAAATAGAGTGGGAAGTGTCTTCGTTTCTGAGTTTACAATTACCTTCAAATATGTACGACTTGGTGGTGAAGTACAGGCCAATGGGAACCGTGATCATCAAGGCCGTGAAGAACAGCAGCGTCTTCAGAGTTGATGCTAAGGAACTTTCACTCCTGGAAGAAATCATACAACAAAAATCAGCACTCGCATAAGGCCCTTCCTGAGCAGTCCTGTGTCCAGGTTCCAGGCTCCATGCGGTTACAGACCAGAAATGGAACCACAACCCCGCAGGGAACTCTGTGAGAACTCTCCTTGGATGATCACAGGATCACACCATTGGCACCTGCCACCTCCTACTGACTGCTACTAAGGTCCAGTGAGCTATTGTCTGAAGCAGTACACACATGTACAAATCACAATCAGAGCATGTACAGCCGCAGGCGTCCAGAAAATCTCATGGGTGAGATGGATACGGGGCCGATACGACATGAGACCCCCCCCAGAAAACCACCTGCCTGCAGTCGCCGCCGCCCTGCCTCAAGTGCCTTCTTAACTGGCAGCTCCAGTTCAATGGACACTTCACCAAACCAAATGGCTGCATATCACAAGCGTGATGTGACCACTTGTCCTCGGACTATTTTAAAATCAAATACAATACCACAAGGGACAAAGTTTTGTTCTGAAATGTAGTGTAGTTATTCTTCAGAACATGATAAAGTTTTATCAAATTACTTCAAAGATTTAAAGAAAAATAAATCGAGGAAGCTGCTATTTAAAGCATCCACAGCATAAACATCAACGTAAGAATACCATGAAAGAAAAGCTCGGTAATGTAAGAGTGCCCATACCAGGAAAAAAATTTCTACAATGATATACATCTACCTAGGGAATATGACAAATAATTGCAATTATTCAAAGGCAGAGTCTAGTATCTGACCCAGACCATCTGATCCTTTACAGAAAAAATCACTGACCTCTAGGGTACTACCCAATCAGGTACAGAATATATGCGCATGAAAGAGAACTCTAGATGAAATACTAAAACAGAGTTGTGGGTCCCATTTCCCAAATTGTCCTCAATGTCATGTCCACTGACTTCTCACTAAGTCGACATGCACATCAGTAGCTGTTGCTGGCATTGCCAAACAAGCAACACTTTCTGACAGCAAAGGGGAGCAGCAGGCCCTGGAGCTTTACTCATTTAGTTTAAGGCCCCCGGGGGCGGGGTAAATGAAGCAGTTTCAGACTACCTCAACACACTTCGAACTGTCTCCCCCCATGGTCAGTGCCTGGACTTTACCGCTATCTTATGCAAACAACCGTGCGTGTTACACATTTTTGCAAGATGAGCAGTCCCCAGACATTCTTTCCCTAAGTAAGCACACTGTGTCATTTTTCCCCCTTTTGATTGTGAATTAAGCAAACGTTTTTGGAGCACGGCATCAAGGTTTACATTTAACACCTCATCAAGCCTTCTATTGCTTTGCCCCACTCCTATCATCACCTCACTCACACACACCGCACCCCCGCCTGCTGCCCCAATTCTGCCTTTTACAGGAGCCCTGGTGGTATGGTGGGTTACTCGTTAGGCCGCTAACCCCAAGGCTGGCAGTTTGAAACCCACCGCTGATCTGCTTTCTACTGCTAAAAAGAGGTATGGGCTCGGAAACCCACAGGACAATTCAACCCTGTCCTATCGGATCACTAGGAGTTGGGATGGACTTGATGGCAATAAGTTTGGTTTCTGAGTTTTGGCTCCCTCGTGTTAGATATTCTGATTCCCTTCACCCAACTATACCAATTTTGAAAAATATCTACTGACTTTAATGTTCTCAGTATAAGACTCTCATGGAAGCTTCATTTAAGGAAGCTCTTTTCTAAAGCACATGCAACTGGTGGGAGAACTAAATAGGCCTTTGATGAAAATGGGATGCCACGTTGCAACCTATAACTACAGAATGCTGTGGACAGTTCAGCGCATTCCTAAATCAACGGAAACATCTTTCGGACAATGTTTTTAAAATCAACAAAGAAGTCACCAGGAGAAATAGTTTCATCTTTTTTAAAAAAGATTGTGTTTATTCATTCATTCACTACCTGTATCAGCATCAGCATGTAACCCCCAGAACGTTTCAGAGTCCGATCCCTCACAGTGCCGATGAACTCTGGCCAAACCGCTTGCAGACGCTCTTCTGATCAGATGTCATTATCACCGCCTTCAATGTCTTCTTGTCAACCCTCTGAAACCGCTTCCGATGATTCCCCTGGCTCTTTCCCCCCAAGTAGGAGCTGTCCACTTGCAGACATCTGTAGCTGCTGCTGGCGTCAGTGGCCAGAGTGGCGTGGACTCATGAATTCCAGCACGGCACCCATTCATCCCGCTCTCTGGAAACTCTGCCTGGGTGGTTGACTGCTCATCTAGTAGCTGCAGCTTGGATGTCAGGCTGCCTATAAAAACATTATTTTTAAACTCACTGCCAAGTCGATACCGACTCGTAATGACCCCTTGTGGGTTTCCAAGCCTGTAATTGTTTATGCATGGAAAGTCCCGGCTTTCTCCCGAGAATCGGCTGGTAACTTCAAACTGCCAACCTTGTGGATACCAGCAGCCCAACTGGTTACCACTACACCACCAGGACTCCTAGGCCACCCATAGACTAATGTAATTTTGAAAAAAAAAAGTTTCGTGATAGTAGCCATAGAGTTGAACAGTTCAAAAGACTCTTCAAAAAGAACTTCCCTCTCTCCCCCATCTAGCCCTTTATACAATTTAGCCATAACATTCGTCTATCCAGCCCTTCCTATGACACAGATGAGTAGTTGGTTTTTTACTTTTTTGTTATTTTTTTAGTAACTTTCTTAAAAATCACCACTAGGACTATAGTAAGCAAGCCCCATCATGCTCAGTGGTAGCAATGGCTACAGTGTTCACCCCTAACACAGCTACTGTCCTAATGACTGAAATGTTGAAAGACATTGGGTGCTCAGTCACAGTAATTACGCCCACTGCAGAGATCCTGAGTTGAGATGCCATGGGGGACAGATTCACAGAAATTAACCATCGTTTGCTCCTAGTCATCAGAAGTTACTGGCCTGCAGCGGCTCCCATCCACTCAAAAAGGCCACTTCCTGATGAAGGTAGAAATCCAAGTGAGACCCACCCTGAAATCTGTCACTTACCAGCAGCTCCGCTTTGGTCTGAGGTGCGAGGGGGACAGCTGGAATGTGAGAGAGACTCCAGCCTTTCAAGTCGTCCCCGGCTCAGGCCATTTCAAAGCGGGCCCTGGGCACACAGACTCATTTTCTTCCCCTCTTTTCTAGCCTGGACACCTCCCCAACCTCAGATTCGCTCACTGCCACACCACTGCTAGGTGGCGCAGGACTTACATTGAATTTCTGACATGCTTCTAAAGGCGCAAAGATTTGGATTTAGAAGGGGGAAATGTGCACAGTATCAGCAGTAACTGAATGACTATAAGAAAGACACCACAAAATTCAAATGTGAAGCATACAAAGCACCAGTCTTCTATGTTCACAAGCATTTAAGGGGACTTCAGAAAGTTGGTGGGAAAATTCCATTAACGTGTCTGTCCATTTTCACCTTTTCGAAGTCCCCTCACTTGGCACTGATCAAAGACACAGGCGTCAATAAGCCATCAAGAGGCTATGAAAGAAGCAGACCTAGCATAGCTTATGGGTTCACCAAAGATGATCGGGTTTCCGGCATTTAGTTGTTGAGCTGCAAGTGATTGTCTATCAGTTTTGCTTTGTTGGCTCCTCCAATTAAAAGCCAGTCAGAGGACTGCTGTGAGGATGTCAACACAGATCGACGCGTAGCTACTCTATGCCCTTTAAGCCAGTGCAGTCTTCCCTTTGTTTACACTGCCGATCAATAGCACAAGATTTATTGGCAGGCTTCAGTAAGTTCAAGGCTAAGCATCAGGGAATAATTATCAACTTAAGTTACCAGGAAAAAAACGCACCATTTCAATGGCTTGTTGGCCAGTGACGGGGTACTGCCACACTGGACCCATGACTCCTGCTCTCCCTCGTTGATACCCTTCTTATATACAAAGATGAGCAAAAGCAAGAGCGTGAGCGGGGCTGGCATTCCCTTCTGGAAACAACACGGAGCCCCCTAGCCTTTTTTTTAACACAAAATGTAATTTCTCCACTTGCTTTGTGTGTGCATGTGTTATTGGTGGTGTAGTGGTTACACATTGGGTTGCTAACCACAAGGTCACCACCAGCCGCTTCGTGGTGGGGGGCAGCAGCTCAGACACCCACAGGGATACCCTGTCCTATAGGGTTGCCATGTGTTGGAACTGACTCAATGGCCGTGAGCTTGGGGGTTTTCCGCTACTCTTTGTGGGGGGACCAGTAAGGATACACCTTTCTCTTTCTGGTAATCCTCAGCTGGTGGCCACATTGAACTGTTTTCTGCAGCCAAAGGAAGGAGGCAGCCCAGCCTCCACAGACCTCTGACGGCGAACAGCAGGTTTGGTTTGATCTGGTACACAATTAGCTGGGAGGTTTCTGACAGGCCAGAACGTCTCAACTTTTTATCGATGATCTTCAAACTTTTTTTGACCCAGTAAAACTACTGGCCCACACTGGAGATCCCCTTGCAGAGGGGTCTCGGGGAGGAGATGAGCCAGTCAGGGTGCGATGTAACAACGATGAGAAATACAACCTTCCTCTAGTTCCTAAAGGTTTCCTCCCCACTCCCACTACCATGACTCGAATTCTATCTTGCAAGACTGGCTAGACCAGAGGAGGTACAGTAGTACAGACAGGAACTGAAAATACAGGGAATCCAGGACGGATGAGCCCTGTAGGACCAGTGGTGTGAGTGGCAAAACAGGGAGGGTAAAGGGAGAATGGGTAGGAAAGAGGGAACCGATTACATGGAACTGTGTGTGACCTCCTCCCTGGGGGACAGACAACCAAAAAGTAGATGAAGGGAGACGTCGGACAGGACAAGATATGACAAAATACCCATTTATAAACTATCAAGGGCTCATGCGGGAGGGGGGAGCGGGGAGGGAGAGGAAAAATGAGGACCTAATGTCGGGGGTTTCAATGGAGAGAAAATGTTTTGAGAAACGATGTACAAATGCGCTTTACACAATTGATGTGTACATGGATTGCAATAACAGTTGTATGAGCCCCT